CTAATGTTACTTACAGTTAGTTTGGAGTTTTAAAAAGTTGCGTTAATCTGAAGCGGGGACCAAATTGGGTGTGTCATCGTTCTTGTTCCATGATGGGGATAGGTGGGGTGAGGGAGCGGGGAGCGGGGAATATTTTTAATCAACTTAAAAGACAGTGGTTTTATATATATTTTTTTGTATCAATGTATTTTTATAGCTTTACACGAACTGATAAGGTGATCTCTTGCTTCGTTCAAGAGGCGGGTAACATCTCATTACCTATCTCTCTAATTCGCTTTGACGTTTACTATGTGTGATTTATCTTGATCTATTTAGTATATTTATGTTTATGTATTATTATTTATATTATATATGTATGTTTATGTATTATTATTTATATTATATATGTATGTGTATGTATTATTATTTATATTATATATGTATGTTTATGTTATGTAATCTTATTTTTATATTTAGAATATTTTGCATTTTGTTTGATTCCTTTTATGCATTTACTGTGTCTGACTTGCGCCATCTACCTTTCTCTCCATACTTATCCATTCTTTATGCCAGGTTGTCTGTAAGAGATTGCTTTTAGCGATAAGGCCGCCTTTTGTATATGCACATTCTGTATAAATAGTCCTTGTTTACATCTCTACTGTGCGCAATAAAGAGTTTATTATTATTATTACTTTTTTGCAGTTTATACTCCTTTTTTTTCTTCCTCATTAGATTTATATTACTTGAAATATGATCGTAAACTTACGGTCACTATAGTGGAACAAAATCTTAACTATCACCTCATTAATAAAAAAAGTCGAACGTCTCCAAAACCTATTTTAATTCATAAAATATTTTGTCATTTACTTTTGCGTTAATTTTCCAATTTGAGAGAAAGTGATAAAACACTCCAATACTTAATACAGATTGTAGTTAGCGATGCGCGAATCCGAATTATTTTGTTTATCGAATTAAAAAGGTAAATTACAAATTTTAAAAATCGTCTATTAAATTGTAGTGTATGGTTGTCTGGAAGAGATTGTTTAGCAATAAGACCGCCTTTTGTACTACACTATACTTATCGAAAATTGTTCAACAAATCTTGTAATGTTAGTGGAAAAAGTGTTAAATAAATAAATACTACATAATAATTATTGTGGTAAATTATTTATATTGTATGTTTTATTAATTAATAAAATATATTATTTATGCATCATTTATATAAGTATGTATCTATATAATACAATTTTATCTTTGGCTGTTACACAGGTTACACTCTGGGTTTGTTGTACGCGTCCGCGTAGCCTAACTTCAGGCTGCAGCTGAAAATCAGTGCTTTGCTTCTAAGCAAAACTATCACTGAGCTGTACCCTATTTGGGTCACTGCGACACACATGGCGAAACCATATTTTATCTTTTGTTGTATATTTTAAAAAGTGTAAATAATTTTATTGTATAAATTCATTTGTAAATTTACGTGTGTCATAAATGGCTCAAATAAAAAGTTTATCTATCTATCTATCTAAATAATTATTGACATAATATATATAAATATATAAATAAATTGACAAATTAGTAACTATTTACAACACAATCTGTATCCATTACTACTATATTATCATCTTAGTATAAACACAGATTATATACTAACATTATAAAGAGAAATTATGTTTGTTTGTTTGTTTATTGATTATTGTTATAATTTAATTGTTTTCTATTTGTATATAATTATTATTTTCTTTTGTTTGTTTTGTTTTTGATTTCTTTTGTTTTTGTTTTGTGCGCTACTGTGTGGGCCGCATGCTTCTTCGATTAAATTATTTTTTTCTTTCTTTCTTTCTTTGTAATAAACTCGAAAGATTATTAGACCAATTACAGTAAGTATATATAAGCTATTGGGCTATATATTATTTTAAAAAATTATATGTACTCGTACAAAGCTGAGCCGGATCATTAGTAAATGTTTTTGTTGTATTAAACGCCTGTTAGAAATTTAAAGCAAAGTTTTTATTCTACTTATTTAGATGGAATATGACAGTAAACTTATACAGTACGGAGACAACACCATAGTCTACAGAAATGATAATGTATCAGGGACACCATGGGCAACACAATGTATTGTGTGTAAACTTTTTTTATGCACCTTAGAATGGCAAACAAACTGACGGCCCACCTAATAGAAAGTGGTAACCGTCGCCTATAGACATGAGGAGTACCATGGACATAACAAAGTAAACTGTTTCGCCCATGATACCTCCCATGCGTTGCCATTCCTGAGGACTCAGGTGTTATTCCTCTGTACCCTGTAAATTCACTGCCATATCTCACCCTTCAAACAGAAACAGAATCATGCAAACAAATGCTTCACTTGATGATATAATATATAATAAGATATGATGATGATGATGATGATGATTTATCCTCTATTCAATAATGCATCGCCTATTTATTTCTCGGTTTGCCCAATAATTGACTGGTAGAGAACACCGTCCGGTGTTAAGTCCGCCAAATGTGTATAGAATTTTACTGTGCATTACAGTTTAAATAAATAAATGAAATGAAAGTAAGAGAAGGATGGAAAGTAATAAAGAAAGAAAGAAAGAAAGAAACTTTATTTTACAAGAAATATGCGACGACACCCACACAGGGGTTAAAAAAATCCATATATTAAGAATTATAATAAAGAAACAACACAAAAAATATTTATATATATATATATATATATATATATATATATATATAGAAATATAAAATTAAAAAAGAAAAATAAAACAATTCGTAATATAACAATTTCATCAAAAATGAGTGTATGTGTGCGTGCGTCGCAATACCTGCAAAATGAGGTCCGTGCTCAGCATTATGCTGTAGTGTCAGGGATACTACAGCGCTGATTTTCAGCATGAGCCTCGCCAACCCGCGGGTATATGAATAAACAATATATGAAAGTTTACCAAGCACAAAGAGTATAAACTTGGAACTTAATATCCGGGCAAATGCAGGCTCCTTCCAGAGGGAGCCATTTAAAAAAAAATTATGATGATGACCTATAAAGCGAATTTAAGTCAATAAGAATTAAAATATCACACGATACACTGACGTCACACTTCGGTTGCCTCAATATAAACTTGCTCCATTATTTTGGGTGGGCATTCGTAATTCTTACGCAAGCCACAGCTCAGCTGGTGGTACATAATCGCACCTCACTGTCGTCAATTTGCTCAACTACCATCACTTCACTGGCTAGCTTTTTGCACGCTACTTATGATCTGGTACTGCTTAGTTGTTTGTATTCACACAAATTCATTATTTATATAGTTAAAGTTTTTGATAAATGCAACAGCTGAGTTACTTGAACGTTCTTCTTGGCTGATATTGCGTTCCGAATAGGCTGTAATAAAAAAATGACTTCGTTAATGCTTAAATCTATGTTTAGTGGAATAAAAATATTTCTTTCTTTCTTTTTTCTTTCCTTCTTTCTTTTTTCTTTCTTTCTTTCTTTCTTTCTTTCTTTTTTCTTTCTCTTTCTTTTTTCTTTCTTTTTTCTTTCTTTCTTTCTTTCTTTCTTTCTCTCTCTCTTTTTTCTCTCTTTCTTTCTTTTTTTCTTTCTTCTTTCTTTCTTTCTTCCTTTCTTACTTTGTACGAGTGGATTTCAAAAATAAGAAAATCAATAGACAAATTCTAGATGATGTATCAAAATGAAGCATACTACATAATTTTAAATTAGACCTTCAGGAATACAACAATGAAAAAGAAGGGGGAAGGGATTGTTAGTAATGTGGATTACCAGTCCCATTGCTAGCAATATACCCTGTCAAGTCGACCTCCACGTAGTCCCCCTGGAAACCATCGTGCTGTATTCCAGGCGTATTCATCCCGATAGACTAACTGAAGGCTTTTCATCCTAATCTATCATCCCACACTGGTGCTCCGCCGGTGTATACCGATAGCGCAGGCCAGGTTGCCATTCCATCATCATCCAGCAAAAAAAAAACAGTGAAAAATCGCATCCAAATTGGTGCAAGTTTTGTGCAACGCTACATTTTGTACATTATCTGCATCATTTACAATATAGCCAATATACTTATTTCTGTTTTATTTATTTTATTATCTAAAAAATTTCTGATGATAAGTAATCGCCATCTAGAGGCACCCGCCGTGTGGTCCCACCTTAGGATGGGCCACACCGTGGGTGTCGTAAGAGACAATTAAGAGAACTTAACGATCGAGGGATGGGCAGCAGCGTCCTTCTTAAAACACCACCAAAACCTAACTGCAGTTACCAATCCACTTGCCAAACATGGTAATTACTGGCAAACCCCTTGTTGTGGGGAATGTTACGTTCTCCAGTGGACGATTAATGGCTGATAGAAAAATAGGCACCCATAACATCAGAAGAACTACAGGTTTTACCAGAGGGAGACTTTGTACAAAAGTCGATTGCTTGGGTACCTCTGTCCCATTCGTGTTTCAACCGTGAAGCAGTTGTGTTTGCATGGTTGTGTTTCGGTTTGAAGGGTGGGATATGGCGTGAATTTACTGGGTACAAAGAAATAACACCTGAGTCCTCAGGAATGGCAACGCATGGGGGGTATCATGGGCGAAACAGTATACTCTGTTATGTCCATGGTACTGCTCATGACTATAGGCGACAGTTACCACTTTCCATCAGGTGGGCCGTCAGTTTGTTTGCCATTCTAAGTTGTATAAAAAAAAAAGGTGTGGTGCCGACCTTTTAGGAAGGAAATGGAAACGTTCAAGGCAAATGTCTTTTCTTGAAGGTTTCAACGTATATCTTGTGAAAATAGTTCATCTTCCCTTTTTTTGTCATCATCAGACTATACAGGAGGAGATCGATGTTTGGTGGTATTGATTTTCTTATTAGATCTTTCCGATTCAAATCGATGTTTTTCCCCCGAAATTCGAAAACACTAAATTAACTATTTACACACATTTACCAGTGAGCGCACGCGTGTCCTATCGTCCGTCGAAACGCTACGCCCCTGGCTACCACCAACGAACTTCCGATTGCAATATCTTGCCCAACACCGCCACTTCACCGCACAGACAGACAGTCCACTTTTATACGTGTACCAGTCGGTTAACGGTTGCAATAATGCGGTGGTTGTGTTTTGTGTTATTTGTGAACGTTGTGTTCGCGCTGAATTCAACTGATGAAGGTGAGATGTTCCACTGTGTTCCCCATATCAGTGTTGCCAACTAAGTGTTAGGTGGTCGGGCTAAAATGAAATTTTAGAAGAAAGATTTGTCGAAAAATAGGGAAATTGTTCTTAATCGTTATTTACTTGTTGTTTTTGGATATTTGTTAAATAAAATGCAGAATCCTGTATTATTATAATCTTCCTCGCATTATCCTATTTATACAAAAATTTTATTTTTATTCATATTTTACTTTTAGTAATTAAATAAAAGCTAAATTTTACTTATTCGGTTTTATGAGCGGCGATCTGCCTGACGTCAACTCTTGGGAAAATATAAAATCCTGGGTATAAAGAAAAAAATCGGCTTAGTACGATTAAAAGGGTAGATTTTTTTAAATATAGCCTATTTTACTCGCTATATAAATTGAATAATTATTAAAATCGGTTAAATTTATTAAAATTCTTTTATGTTGTTATTATTTTCTATTAATCCATTATAAACAAAATATCGAAACTTCTCTCCTTAAAATATTAATGTAGATAAAATAAAATAATAATATATAGGTACTTTTCACACATAAAACAATAGAAATATTAAACTATTTACATAATTCTGTAAACTTTAAGCTTTGTGAAAGTTTGAAGTCTGGACTAGGTCGTAATACAGGTAAACATATCCAGTAGTCTGAACTGCTAGGTGCATTTTTTCAAAAACTGCCTACGAGTAATTAAATATTAAAAATTGTCAGTATTGATTTTATCAATGCATGAAAGGTATCATGGGCGACACAGTATACTCTTTTATGTTCATGATACTATTCATGTCTATAGGTGACGGTTACTACCTTCCATCAGGTGGGCTGTCAGCTTGTTTTTCATTCTAAGTTGTATAAAGAAAAAGTAAACAAACCCTAAATCTTAAATGTAAATATTATTAGATTTACTGTATGTTAAACGGAAATAGACAAGGTCAAATGATCCCCTCCTATAAGCGAGTTACTACTTTTACATATATAAAATTATAAGTATTCACATTCGATAAGATGCGTAAAGTCCAAAAACTTTTAAAGTTTCGACCCAAATCATCGCATACAAAACTTGTGGCAAAGCAATTTAAACTTTATTTATTTACTAGCGACCCGCCCCGGCTTCGCACGAGTGTACATTACATCACATCACATTAGAAATCTCTAAAATTATCAGTATTTCTCTACTATATTATGCATGTATTATATATATAAACCTTCCTCTTGAATCACTCTATTAAACGCTTCAAAATCCACGTTTTAAAGATTTTAGCATATATAGGGACGGACAGAGCGACTGCTTTTGTATTATATGCTTTTGTACATTTATATATATATATATATATATACATATATATACATATTTATTTCTATCACAATAACACTTCGTTTTAACACATTTTACAAAATAGATAATACATAGTTTGCCATTGGAAGTGGACAGAATCCATCCTAGGATATCCTGTGTTACGGTCACAACACTTGGCTCCTGGCTATACAAGAACAATTTTTTTTAATGGGTGATAAAATGGTCTTCCCGTCTACCCTATCGGGATACGCTGGCGGGACACCAGTGAGGGATGACAGGTGAGGTTGAAAAGGCAAAAAAGGCAGGTCAGTTAGCCCATCGTGACGAATTCCACTGGAATTAACCACGAGGGTTTCCATGGGGAATCGCGTGGAGGTCGACCTCATAGGTTGTATTGCTAGCAATGGGGCAGTTAAACCCCATTACTAATAATCCCTTTCCCCCATACAAGAACAGATAAACCATAGAATTAAAAGTAATAATTAAAATTTTAAAACATAAAAGAGGCACGAATTTATTATATACAGGTATATAATTCCAAGTATTAACAATAATCACGCCCGCCACCATATTCCACCAGGTTTAGATCGCTCTGTGTGTATAAAAAAAAAACCATTCCGCGGAACATCCAAAATGAACTCTCTGTATGGTATAAAGAGAGCATTCAGTTCCTTTATAGCATTGAATATTTAAATATTAAGAAAGACTACTAAGAATACTAAGAAAGGATATCCTATAACGGAATCGAATAAAAGAAGCGTATTTTTATTATATCAAAATATTGGTGTCTCACCAAGATAAAAAGATAATTTAAAAAAATAATCCGGCTACTTAGAGAAGAATACGTCCCTGGAAAACTAAATATAAAATAAAAATGCCTAATATCTCTAAAAAAATTGTTCTACTACCGCTTTATACAAAAATAGGTTTGGTGAAAAATTTTGTCGAGACTTTAGACCAAAACTAGTGTAGCCTTTGAACATTTATGCTCTTTTTCCCCTTATCTTTCTGAGGCGAAACTAGAGAAGATATTATTTCGGACCACAAATCAATTAAAAACAATAAATATTTTGGAAATAAGACGTCTTTTTTTATATATTTTTTTTTTTCAAATTTAGTGCACAGACAATTTCAAATTTTGTAAAAAAAGAGCACTTTTTATTTGAAGGACAAAACCCACGTAAAGTATTATATTTTTTTTTTTATACAACTTAGAATGGCAAACAAGCTGACGGCCCATCTGATAGAAAGTGGTAACCGTCGCCTATAGACATGAGCAGTACCAGGGACATAACAGAGTATACTGTTTCGCCCATGATACCCCCCATGCGTTGCCATTCCTGAGGACTCAGGTATTATTCCTCTGTACCCAATAAATTCACGCCATATCCCACCCTTCAATCCGATACACAGCCATGCAAACACAACTGCTTCACGGTTGAATCACGAATGAGACAGAGGTACCCAAGCAATCGACTTTTGTACAAAGTCTCCCTCTGGGAATTTATAATAAAATATGTAATTTTTAATTATTAACTTATTGACGTTATTATATTAGTTATTCTCACTTAAATATCAATATAATTCTTATAATGTATGCGTATTGCGATAATCGCATGGTTAGTGTATTGACGTAGTTTGCACTCACGATGTATTCAAGTAATTTAAAACTAGTCATGCTCCACTATAAGGTCCTGATTGGCTCATCCGTCATACTCGTGAACAGGTGCTGTTTGTCGGGACCGGCCTGCTCGTGTTTACTTATTTATTTTCCATTTAATAATACATATAAATAGAACATAACGCTAATTATAATCACACAGAGTACCAATGCAAATGTAAAATTATCTTGTACATAATAATTTAACAAAATTAACTGTTGAGTTTCTGGCGGATTCTTTTTTTTTTTATGCAACTTAGAATGGCAAACAAGCTGACGGTCCACCTGATGGAAAGTGGTAACCGTCGCCTGTACACATGAGCAGTACCATGGACATAACAGAGTATACTGTTTCGCCCATGATACCCCCATGCGTTGCCATTCCTGAGGACTCGGGTGTTATTCCTCTGTACAAACACAAATACTTCGCGGTTGAAACACGAATGGGACAGAGGTACCCAAGCAATTGACTTTTGTACAAAATCTCCCTCTGGTGATTCTTCTCAAAAGATAACATACCGAATCCAGTAATACAATTACAAAAAAATTACGATCAAAATCGCTTGTAAACAAGTATTTTAATAATTATTATTTCTATTCTATTCTATTCTTTTCTATTCCATTCTATAATGTTTCTGTAACAATTTAAAAAATAAACCTAGTTAACTTTTATTAAGTTATATTGAATCAAAATATATAGGTGAGTATGTAAGTAAGGTACATACAGAGGTGAGAATTAAACTGGTGACCTTTTAACGGGCAGTGACCTCTTTTGGACGTAATATAAAAATCGTCATTGCAATGCGTTCACTTGGCCTTTAAAAAAAATAAGGAAAATTTTATACTTTCAATGTAAATAAACAATAACTTGACAATAAAAAAAAATTCCTATGAAATGCGGATATATAATGAATCGACTTTTTTTTATGCAACTTAGAATGGCAAACAAGCTGTCGACCCACCTGATGAGAAATGGTAACCGTCGCCTATAGACATGAGCAGTACCATGGGCAGAACAGAGTATACTGTTTCGCCCATGATACCCCCATGCGTTGCCATTCCTGAGGACTCAGGTGTTATTCCTCTGTACCCTGTAAATTCACTGACTCACGACTATATTTGCCTAATAATAACGTGTTACCATTCCAGACTAGTTACCATTTCATTTTCACCCATTAAACAACCTTATTAGGTCGACCTCCACACGATTCCTCCTTGAAACTATCGTAGTTATTTCTTATCAAATTCATCACGATGTGTCCATTGACTTATTTTCATTCTCACCTACATCATCTCTAAAAAGATTGCTTGGAAAGATTACTCTCAGCAATAAGACCGCCTTACTGTACTTATACGAGTACAACTGTATCGTTGAGTTTGTAAATTGTCTTGCTTATTTCCTATATTGTATAATGCAAATAAAGTATACTCAGTCATTCATACTCTGACACCTCTCAATATATATCTATAGCAGGGTTACTATTCCATCTTAACCTATTAAAAAAATATCTCCCCCCCCCCCCAAAAAGAAGGGGTCTTTTCCCACATGTATCGAAAGAGACGATTAAGGGAACTTAATGGTAGAAGGATAAACAGCAGTTTCTCTATTAAAACATCACCAAAGCCTAACTGCGATTGCCAATCGCCTGCCAAGAATGACAACTACTGCCAAAACCCCTGGACAGGGGGGAAAGGGATTGTTAACAATGGAGTTGACAGCCCCATTTCTAGCAATATACCCTATTAAGTCCACCTCCACGTGGTTCCCCCTGGAAACCATCGTGAACAATTCTTGTTGAATTCGTCACGATGGGCTAACTAACTTGTTTCATCCTCACCTATCATCTCTCACTGGTGTCCCGCTAGTGTATACCGATAGCACGGGCGGGGATACAATTCCATTATCACCCATTAAAAAACCCTAAATAGGAGGAGGTCTATTCAGCAGTGGACAGTTAACGGCTGATGATGACGATGATGAACATAGACTAGGTATAAATTTCGAAAAAGATATCTACTCTACCGGATCTGATCACCAGTATTGTATAAAATCATAGCTCGTAAGGCCCTATGAGCGACGACGTTTACCTGCCTGTCTCGGGGTCGTTTCGATCCCTTATAACGTCCGCTGAAATAGGGTCAACCGTCTTTAATTCTGACTGAAATGAACTGGGCGCCTTCCTAATGCGCCCGTATGTTTGTTGCAAGTTTTGTTTGGCAGTTGGGTTCAGATTTTTATCGATACTTCTTTTTAAAATCACGACAGTACACCTCCAATATATGGAATGAAGATATAGCGTTGCAACTACGGGCAAAGCTTCTGTAAAAAGGAGATCTACATTCAGTAGTGGATAGTTAACAGCTGAAGTAATGATGATGATGAATATATATATATATATATATATATATATATATATATATATATATATATATATATATATATATATAATGGCGAACTTATCTCTAAAAGAGATCTCTTCCAATCAACCTAACACAGTGGCATAGGGCGGAAAGGGATTGTTAGTAATGGAGACTGAGAATCCCATTGCTAGCTATATACCCAACCAGGTCGACCTCCTCGCGGTTCTCCCTGGAAACTATCATGGTTAATTCCTGATGAATTCATCATGATGGGCTAACTGGCCTGTATTCATTCTCGTCTATCACCCTTCACTGGTGCTCCGCCAGCGTATCCCGTTAGCGCAGGCGGGGTTACCATACCATTTTCACCCATTAAAAAAAAAAAACAGTGGCATAGGAAATAGTGAGTGGGCAGTAGTAGTGCAAAGCAGAAATATTTACATAAATTACAAATCATTATTTATATAATTTTATATATATAATTGAAATTAAATATTCACATAGTTACCTACTAAATATTTTGCCATAGAGACTGAATCTACATCTTTATAAGCATTACTAAACTTCTTAGCAAACAGGTCGTAAGATACATACAAGTACCTCCAAGTCTAGCATTTAACATAGCGCTAGACGCAACTGCATCCAATGTTGAATGGTCTATTTAACAATCCACACTCGTCCTTATTCGTTATACAATAAAGTCCACAATTGGTGGGACGTATTTAGTTGCAAGTTCTATAAAGCGGACACTTGACAAGGATTTGCAATAAACTGCATTCTTGAATTTTCTCCGCACTTGTGCAAAACACTTTCGTAATCAAACTTGGACATACGAGTAAACTGTACGGTTTAAATTGCGAGTTACAGTTTAAAACTAACCGAAGACAGAACCTTTTCTCTATGTATACTAATATGTTTCAAGCAAAATTCCATTTAATTAATAAGCTAACAGATTCTATTTTTAAATGCTTTCTAAACATACATTATATTTTAATGTAATAACTAGCGGTTTAACTTACATGTAATTAGAAAGAAATTAGTCAGACTCATGCTTGCATCTTAGCCGCTTATGACTAAGGAACACGGTTTGATCCCGAAACTAGTACTAATAGATTTACTTTAAAAAAAATAAGTCGTAGTAAAACTAGTTATTTCAATTTAAAAATTGAGCCGATTTTGATAAAATTTCTATTAAACTAATCTAAAAGTATATCCTTTTTGATACAAAAATCTAAATCCGCAATTAAATGACAGAATTGAGAGAAAACAAACAAAAAACACCCGAATTAAAAACCTCCTCATTTTTTTAAATTGGTTAAAATAGTTCATTTTAACAGCCTTGAATGGTATTCAGACCAGAGTATTCAAGTCCATGCACATTTAGCTCCGCAAATAAAAAAAAAATTACGATGGCACTGCCAAATGTGAAACTGTTTACAAAAAAATTTTAGCTAATGTTGAGATGTAAAGATTTCAATGATGCCATAAAACCTTATCTGCTCAGGCATTTAGAAGTTATGCTAGTGATACATACTCATCAAAGAATGTCATGTATATATGTATACATACATACATACATTCTTTTTTTACCAGTCGCACAACATAACTAAAGACTTTATCCTACAAAAATTTACGAAAGGGAGACTTTGACAAAAGTCTTTCGCTTGGACACCTCTGTACCATTCGTGTTTCTACCGTGAAGCAGTTGTTTGCACGGTTGTGTTTCGGCTTAAAGGGTGGGATGTGGCAGTGAATTCACAGGATATAATACAGAGGGATAACACCTGAGTTCTCAGGAATGGCAACGCGTGGAGGGCATCATGAGCGAAATATTAGTTTATTACATAGTATATTTATGTACATCTGCTCATGTACGTAGCCGTCAGCTTGTTTGCCATTCTAAGTTGCATAAAGAAAACAACTTCAATTTTGACAAAACTAATTATTTTGGTCCAAAAAAGAATAAAACAATTTAGATAAAATTTCTGTAGCACCAATCTGCAAGTATATCCTTTTAGATAAAAAAGAAATTTTCAAATCAATTTAAAACTGGCGGAGTTATGAGGTCACGAACATAAAAAAATCGTTTGTAAGATTATTAATTTAAAAATTATTTCGGTTAAACAAAATATCTACAAATAATATAGACTGTACTTTATTTAAAAAAAAAAATCATGTGATACCCTGATGGATCACTAATTTGAAATAATAATAACTTAAAATCAAAACCGGTCATTTATTTGTATAAAAAGTTGTGGAAAGCTTTTACGTACCAGAGGGAGACTTTCCAACAGGTGGGCCGTCAGCTTGTTTGCCATTCTAGGTTGCTTAAAAATTACATATTTTTTTTAAACTATGATTTTAATAATTATTTAAATGATTTAATATTTCCTCAAGAGCAATTTTTATGCAACTATCAGTTACAAAACAGCGCCGTGCGTCGTGAAGGGCGTTTATAACAAATTTATTGGCCGTGACCCACTCTGTACTGACGTGAACCAATCTGCGGTTTTGGGTAATTGGCATCGAGACATTATTATAGTTATCTCTATGTGGTGTTGTGACGGTGTAATCGGAGATGTCGCCTAACATACGGACACAAACGAGTACATTTTTTTATATTGTTAAACGGCTTAATCAATCACTATGAAATTAGTATACACGTATTATATAGGAAGAGGGAAGAAGAAGGATACGAGTATAGGCTACTTTTTATTCCGGACAGTAAACATATCCTGGTCGGGGGGAAAGGGATTGTTAGTAACGGAGACTGATAATCCCATTGCTAGCAATATACCCAACCAGGTCGACTTCCTCGCGGTTCCACCTGGAAACTATCATGGTTAATTCTTGATGAATTCATCATGATGGGTTAACTGGCCTGTTTTCATTCTCATCTATCACACTTCACTGGTTCTCCGCCAGCGTATCCCGTTAGCGCAGGCTGGGTTACCATTCCACTTTCACCCATAAAAAAAAAACAAATCCTGGTCACGGTGTAAAAATGTAGTATACCATAAAATTTACTGCTAAACGCAAAACTTGGAAACGTCTGTATCAGTTACACTATTTTTTTTTATTATTCGAAAAATTTTACCAGAGGGAGACTTTGTACAAAAGTCGATTGTTTGGGTACCTCTGTCCCATTCGTGTTTCAACCGTAAAGCAGTTGTGTTTGAATGACTGTGTTTCGGTTTGAAGGGTGGGATATGACGTGAATTTACTGGGTACAAAGGAATAACACCTGAGTCCTCCGAAACGGTAACGCATGGGGGGTATCATGGGCAAAACAGTATACTCTGTTATGTCCATGGTACTGCTCATGTATATAGGCGACGGTTACTACTTTCCATCAGGTGGGCCGTCAGCTTGTTTACCATTCTAAGTTATATAAAAAAAAATCCGAGAAAGAATTATGTGAAGAAAAAAATTAGAAAAATGACCCGAACAAAACTACAAAATCCCTTTTTTCTATGTAAACTGTTCCTAATTGATTTGACAGAGTGTCGTCTCGTCTGTCGAATCACCTACTAAATAACTAACAAACAATCTTATTTTCAGATGAAACACCGCAACCGGTATTCGACTACTACTCCATGCCGGCTTTATCAGAGCTGGACGACTTCGACCTATGCATGAGAGACCCTGAAGCGGTCTACTGCATAGCTGATTTGGAGTTACTAGATGATGATACTCCATTGTACCAGTACATCAAGGTCAGTACTACTTTCTAATACCAGGACTGTACTCGTTTAGTATGAAACGTTCCTCAATCATCTTTGTTAAACTCGAAGAGCTATGACGTGGCTTACTGGATAACTGCTTAGTTAGGAGAGAAAGGGCTTGTTAGCAATGGGGTTTAAAAGTAACATTGCAAGTAATATACCTTATCAGGTCGATCTCCCCGTAGTTACCTTGGAAACCATAGTGGTAAATTCTTGTGGATTTGTCACGATGGGCTAACTGACCTGCTTTCATCCTCACCTATCATCTATCACTGGTGTCCCGCTAGTATACCGATAGCGCAGGCGGAGTCACCATTTTATTTTCATCCATAAAAAAAAAACTTGGGTACTGTTATCCTACTCAGGATTACGTCAGCCGTCACTGCTCAACATAGGTCTCCCCTTATTTGGCTTCGCTAGTAGTTACTACGCGTGGCAGGCAGACTGGAAACTGCAGTCAGGCTTTAGAGGTTTTATAAAAGAGACACGGCTATACATTTCTCAACTATAAAGGTCCCTCAGTCGTCTCTTACGACACCCATCCTACTCATGTTTTGCCAAAAACCAGTCGTTACCCCTTTGCAAGCAACATATCCTGTATTGCTAGCAAAGGGGTTGTTAGACGCCATTACTAACAATCCCATTCCCCCAGTACCCAAGTATTAGTACATGTTATGTGTAGAAGGCGAACTTAATACTGAAAGCATTCTCTCCTAGTCAACTTAAGAGATGTGTTAGAATACTCGAATACGCTACTAGTATTAACTGTTATACCGTCTTCTTCTGGTAATGGAGAGGGAGACTTTGTACAAAAGTCGATTGCTTGGGTACCTCAGTCCCATTCGTGTTCCTACCGTGAAGCAGTTGTGTTTGCATGGCTGTGTTTCGGTTTGAAGGATGGGATATAGCGTGAATTTACTGGGTACAGAGGAATAACACCTGAGTCCTCAGAAATGGCAACGCATGAGGAGTATCATGGGCGAAACAGTATACTCTGTTACATCCATGGTACTGCTCATGTCTATAGGTGACGGTTACCACTTTCCATCAGGTGGGCCGTCAGCTTGTTTGCCATTCTAAGTTGTATAAAAAAAATTGCAATATTTATACAATTTTCTTTTTGCAGAATTTCTCCTCGCTCACATATAAAAACTATGAGCACTCTAAATTGCATCGAGGTGTGTGCGGATCCAAACACTGTGGTCTTAATCTAGGCCACTGGAATGTTTCCGATGCGACTGTAACCGCTCTTAGAGAGTGTTTCAACGCTTCTATTTATCAAGGATATGGATTACAGGTAAAATAAGCTGATTTTGTTACACAAGTGCTGAAGTAAGTCCAAATTACAAATTAAAAGTACCTGTAACCGGCGATCTTGTATGCAAAGATTGGTGAATGTGAAAGAAGGAAAAGGGGTTTGTTTGAATTTGACAGACGTGACACATGTATGTATGTTTATTTCACCGAAAAATAACGACTTCAAATGTTGTAAAAGCAGTTATTTTGATTTAAAAACCAAAGTTTAGAAACTATTTTGATAAAATTTTTATAGGATCAAACAGAAAGTATATATATATATATATATATATATATAGGAAAGTATATCCTTTCAAATAAAAATAAAAAAAATTCCTAATCGGTTTAGTTTTGACAGAGTTACGAGGTAAAAACAAACAAAAAATACAACCGAATTGAGATTTTCCTCGTTTTTGGAGTAAATTAAATGTTTAATTATAAGCATAAAGGACCGATACAAGATGAAAGAAAGATTCTTGAATTGTGATACCGAACAAACAAACGCGGTGTAAGACGACCCTCAACTAGACGGAGTGACTACTTAAAACTGCAGAGAGTCAGTGAATGCAGGTGGCTAAGATCATTCCATGAGGAAGTATGCCATGAGGCAATAGAAGATGAAGAAGACCTATGTCCAGCAGTGGACAATTAAGGGCTAATATGATGATATATGATGAAAATCGGTTAAGAGTACTTCCCCAAGAATCTTAGAACTATCTGAGACTCTGAAAATCTGCATAGATCAATCAATCAATTTCTGAGAATCAGCAGGATCAATGAACCCAATCCATCTCTAGACGTTACTTCTATTTTCTACATAGTGATATAATGCTCGTTTCTTTCAGGTTGAAACGCTGTCTGTCCGTTATTGCAAGACCCCAGGCGATTACGTACCTCCCGATACTCTTGATTATATAATTGGAGTCATATTACTAGCGCTGTTAGGAGTCAATATGGCTTGTACTGCTTATTACTTCTTTTGGCCCAGTGAAAAAGGAGAAGGTACGATTTGTTTTCTCTTTTCTACTTTAGTCCTTGTACTCTGAAAGTGATGATGTCAATTCAAGCTTATTTATTTTATACATAAATACCTTCTCTTATATGAATTTTATTTTATAAATAAATAATAAGACTGACGTATCTAAGGAACGTATAAAAATAATTAAAAATTAAAAGATAGATAGAAAGAAACAAATAAAGATACTCCTTATTGCTTCCTCCAGAAGATTACAATAGTAAACTTATTATAAATACAAATAATTACAAGAATTTTAAACCCAAATGAAAATGAAGTACCCAAGTACTTCTGTTCCATTCGGCTTTTTACCGTGCAGCAGGGTACAAAGGAATAACATACTCCTCTGGAATGGCAACACATAAAGAGTATAATGGGCGAAAGAATATACTCTGTTATGTGCACAGTACTGCTCATGTCTATAGGCGACATTTACCACTTTCCATCAGGTGGGCCGTCAGATTGTTTGCTATTCTAAGTTGCATAAAAAAAAGTGCCACACACAAGCTCAAGAGGTTTAAATGGTCATTGTTATATACATTTCTAGTATTAGCTTTTAAGCATGACTTAATTTTCTTTGTTTTTTTATTACGCCATGCCATCTCACGCGTTTAACTATTCGTGGAGACCTATTATTGATATATTTCTTATTATAATTTATATTTATTGTTATTGTTTAAAACACTGTTGGTCTTCCAAATACATAAATAAATGAAAATCCGTAATTTTTTGTATGTATTTGCATGATAATTAAATAAATAAATAATTATACAATTTATCTAACAGATTTTCATTTGCAGGTAACAAATTCATGTTGGCCTTCACAATTCAGAAGAACTGGAAAGCTCTTAAACACGGCGGCAGCGCCGAGGGAGGACTCTTCAAATGTTTCCAGTCCTTACGGTAAGTTTGTATTTTTTTTTTCATTGAATATAAAATGGCAAACAATCACAAGGTGAAAGGGGGAAGGGATTGTTAATAATGGAGTCTAACAGCTCCATTGCTGGCAATGTACCCCATGTCGACCTCCACGCGCTCCCCCTTGGAAATCATTGTAGTTAATTCTTCTGGAATTCTTCACAATGGGCTAACTGACCTGCTTTCATCTTCTATCATCTTAGAATAGCAAGCAAGCTGACGGCCCACCTGATGGAAAGTGGTAACCGTCGCCTATAGACATGAGCAGTACCATGGACATAACAGAGTATACTGTTTCGCCCATGATACCTCCCATGCGTTGCCATCCCTGAAGACTTAGGTGTTATTCCTCTGTACCTAGTAAATTCACGCCATATCCCACCCTTCATACCGAAACACAGCCATGCAAACACAACTGCTTCACGGTAGAAACACGAATAGGACAGAGGTACCCAAGCAATCGACTTTTGTACAAAGTCTCCCTCTGGTAAGATACTGGTGATACAAAGTAACGATGACGACATTAATACAATTTACAATCGACTTCGACAAAGGATTGTCGATATCGTATTTTTTTTTTATATATATATTTGTTACCTCTTCCGAGTAACTCCGTCATTTATAGACCGATTCGGAGAATTCTTATTTTTCTCTGAAAGAGGTATATTTTCAGATTGAGCCCATAGAAACCTTTATCGTAATTGTTTCAGTAGTTTAGGTTTTAAATGTAAATAAATTCGGTTATAATTTTTTTGCGAAATGAACTAATTATAGAGAACAATATGTATAAAAAATTTAAGTATTTTTTTTTTATCAAAACACAATGTCTTGTGTTAAGTGTCAATGAGCTGGTAACGTAGCTCGAAAAACCGACAACCAATGAGAAAGAAAACTTCTTGAGTGGCGACCTCGTACGGGCAAATGCAATGTAGGGCGACCGCCCCTCCCCCCCTCACTAAATGGAGTAAAATGCATTGCAGGGAGTCTCAGGGCCGTTACTTATGGCAGTCTATGGAGGAGGCCTATGTCCAACAATCCCAACTCGTCTCTAGAGGTTCTTTATCTAAAATATTTATGTTATCCATAGGTTTTACACAATGGTGATGATCCTCGGGCTACATTCCATGATCTTCATCGGATATGGCTACACTGCTAACCCAGAGTTCATCGAACATGTAAGTGAGCATATATTTTTTCATCAGGAAAGTAATGATATTTTTTTTTATACCACGAAGGTGGCCAACAGCATACAGCCCGTCTGATGGTATACGGTCACTGTAGCCTATGCACACCTGCAATACCAGGGATATCACGTGCGCTTTGCCAACTCTGAAGAAAATATAAAAAACCCTTTTTAAAACTGCAGACAAATTGCAAAACAGATTCACGGCACTTAGAATATGTATTCTCTATGTAACTGTTTACTTGAAATAAATAAATAAAGAGAAATTTTAGGAAAAATCTGGACATGGAGATTGTTGCATAGTCTGAGCGTTCGTATGAAACCGCGCTGTCAATGTCAAATAAATTATTAAATTAATGACAAAAAAATAATAATAATCATAACTAAATTAATTATTCAATCTATCATTAAATTAATTAAAATCAATAATTAGTTTAATTCTTAAATTTTTAATCAATATAATTATTAAATTGTTAAATTATTAAAATTATTTATTTATTAAAATAATGATTAAGTCCATTATTAAATTAATAAATAAACTGTTTGCATCAATTATATTAAAATTATTTTTAAATAGATTATTTAATTAATAATTATTAATAATTAAATTAACAATTAAGTCAATTTAATAATTAATATATAATTAATTACTATATAATTAATTATTATGTAATTCCTGGTGAATCTGTCGTGATGGGTAAACTTAACAATTTTGCTCCATTTATCATGATATAATCTCTACTGTATAATTTGTAAGATATGTATATATATATATATATATATATATATATATATATATATATATATATATATATATATATATATATATATCTCAAATTGGGGCAATGAATATACATTAACAAAATTTTATTAAAATCGGTCAAGCGATTTTGGAGATTAATATTTAGATACGTAATGTACAAAGGTATATAAATATTTTCTATCTAATGACTCTTATATCAATAATGATCTGTCAAAGTATCTTAATGGCTTTGCAAATATTATATGAGTTATTCTAGATTTTCCAGTTATAAAATGACTACGCTGTTTGAAGCTCTATAAGCCACCATTGCCTAACAGTGATATAAACGTATGTGCCAACTCACTCTTAGCTTTTATAAATTAAAATATGTTGAGCAATATTACTTAGTCAACGAGAATGGTTAAATACAAGGTTATTAATAGTCCATGAATAACCTTGGTGGTGTGGCAGTGTATTTCCTCACCATCCGACGGATGTGGCTTCGATTCCCGTGCAATACAAACGTTTGTATTTATGAGATTTTTAATTAGTTTGTTTATTTATAAGTATGTTTTTCAGTTGTCTAGTACCTATACATTGCTTTTGCTTATTAGGGATGGGCAGTATATAGCAATATGTGTATATCGTCATAGTCGTAAAATACTGACGGATCTGACGAATATTACATATATAGATCGGTCAGTATTCTACAACTATGACTATATGGCTGTGTGGTCCCGTGGCCTATTCTATGGAATAGGCCACCCCTTCCATTCCCGTGGGTGTCGTAAAAGCCGACTAAGAGAGGGCGAGGGCTAGGCAGCAGCGTCCTTCTTAAAACATTTCTAAAGCCCGACTGCGGTTGCCAATCCGCCTGCCAAGCGTGGCAACTACTAGCAAAGCTCCCAAAGGAGGCTTATGTTTAGCAGTGGACAGTTAAAGGCTGATATGATGAAGATGATGAGCTATATATTAGTCCAATAAAAAATATGTTAAAATGTGTTATCCAAAAAATAATATTAAATAACAAAATTAATTAATTTAAAAAGTTATTAAATTAATCATTTAATATATTTGAAAATAGATATCCAACCGATATGAGTGATATCGATATAGGATCTTTTTTCTGCCATCAATATTAAGATAACCCAATATATATATATATATATATATATATATATATATATATATATATATATATATATATATATATATATATATATATATACATATGCAGATATTGGGTCGGTATCCACCTATTGCTTAATTTGAAACTAGATGACGCTGTGTAGTAAGTTGCGAAATGCTTAACCTTAAACAAATTTGATAATAGTTACAATTCTATATTCAAATCAAATATCGTTATTGGAATTTGAATATAGAATTGTTATTATTATAAAATTTGAAGTCAATTCGAAATTCTAAATTCAAATTAATACTGTTTAGTAGTAAATATATTAGCCGTATGTATGTATAGTAGAAAAACATTACTCTCCTCTCTACGGAAGTGAGGTTAAAATAATGGTTTTGTGTATATAAATGTATTATATTATCACACTTACACTATTTGTCACACTTTGGAAAGTTAATATTAACATTGTAATTTTTAAATTAATAAAATAAATGTATTAAAAGCAGTTCTTTAAACTATGATATAGTATGGATTTTTTTATGGTAGAAGTGAACAATAACCCCACTTGTACTATTTGTTTATGCGACTAAATACCAGTGAGGTATAATAGGTTAGAACAAAATCCGGACATTTTACCCATCGTTATGAACTCACCAGAAATTCATTATGAAAGATACTCTATTAATCATGACAGTTGTATAGTTGTACTTATAATCAGGTGGACCGTCAGCTTCTTTGCCATTTATATTAGCATACCTCAGACACTTCAAACAGAAACGCCATAATTTGACACGCTTGTCACAACTACAGAAACAAGTAACGACTGTAAATGTGACAATGTATGTGTACATACAGAATTCAATCTTCAGCAAATTACGGTAATGTTTAGATTATATTGATAGAGTGTACAAATGCTTAGAAAAAGCGGGTCAACATTTTCATACTATTTTGCGTGATAAATAGTTATGAATGTTTCCTTTATAACTTTTGTATTTATTTTGTTTTATAATTATTGAATTTTTTTATACGTAAACACTCATTTTATTTATTAAATAATACGTCAAGATACATTTTATGCGTAAATATATAGAACACTAATAAGAAACCAGTCAGATAATTTGACAATTAGTTGACACAAAGTTGATTCGTTTTTGAGACTCAATGCTCTATCTATATATTTGAACTGAGAACCCCTTATATTATAAAATTAGTTAAAAGAGTAATAAATTAATATGTTATCATTAATCAATTAAAATTAACGAAGATATTGTCGTATATATAACGGGAAAATTTATTGTAATTTGAATTTAGAATTACGACATTCGAATTTTAATATAGAATTGTTATTATTATAAAGTTTGTTTAAGATTAAGCATTTTGCAATTTATTACACAATTGCAAATTGAAATGGAAATAATATTTAAATATTAAAATTATTTTAAAATTTATTATAATAATTAATAAATTAAAATATGTGTTAATAATTTATAATAACTATTATAAATAAATACTTTTTTTATTATTTATAATTATTTGAATATGATTTTAATATTAATTATAAAACTTCATGTTTATTACGATTTCATTATACGAATATAAAGAAAGTGAATACCTTATTATACATCCATTATAAGCTTGTGAGAACCTGTTATATGACCTTGTGTTTGTTATGAAACTTGAATGCTAGACCATGTTAGCTTTTGAGAAGCTAAACCTTCACGTAGTTAACATAATAATAGACAGATTATTTTAATGTAAGGACACCCGAATTAACTTACGTTTATTTTAGTCAAGAATACTGGTTTCGGGACCGTCCAGGACCCTTAGTCATGAGCGACCGTGACACAAGCGTTAACCTGATTGCGCATCCAGCCAGTGGATTTGTTTATTTATGTATTCACTAATTGTGATTGTATTATTTTTTTCTTTTTTCATTGAATCTAGTCAAATATCTAATCAATGTTTAAATGAACCGTTAGACAATAAAAGGTGAAAAATAAATAAATGAACTATAAACACAAACATTTATAACTAGCTTTTTGCCCGTTACTTCGTTCGTGTAGTTTCGAAAGTAGAAAATTCAATGAAGTAGATCACTTCTAGATACGTTGTCAAAATAAAACATACAACAGATTTTATGTTAGATCTTCAGGAATACAATTGTGAAAACCGTATCTAATTTGGTACAGTAGGTTTTGCGTGAGGATAAACATATAAATATACACCCAACATATAACCCACACAAATTGGAAAAATTTCTAAAAAAAAATATTGTTTTGAATGAATAAATGACTGACTATATTTGCATGATACTCGTAAAATATGGAGAATAAGCAAGACAATTAATAAATGCAACGATACAATTGTATAAGTACAGTAAGTACATTGTTTTGTCGTCTTTTAGTCTTATTAAGACCCCTCATAATATTTTTTCTCAAATATCTCATCTTAATAGAGGATAGAAGAGGCAAAATGCTGGGCCATCTTATACGATATGACGATTTTTAAAGAGCACAGTAGATGGAAAAAAGGAGAGCAAAAGAGGAAGAGGAAGACCGAGGAATAGCTATATGGGATAGATAAAAGAAACACTAGATGTCATGTCGTATAGGAAGGTCAAGGATATGGCGTGGGATAGAGCTGACTGGAAGAAGATGCATAAATTAGTTGCACCGACAAGAGGAAACTCTTAAATGTAAAGAGAAATCTCCCATATCCACAAATTGTTAAGTTACAATTTTATTATATAAATACGATACTAAAATAATTGTTGCTGAACATAAGCCTTCCCCTTGGGAAGTTTTGCCAGTAGTCGCCACGTTCGGCAAACGGACTAGCAACCACAGTCAGATTTTAGAGATGTTTCAAGAAGGACGCCACTGCCATCCCTCGCCATCCCTTAGTCACCTCTTACAACACCCATGAAAAAGGAAGGGGTGGCCTATTCTATGCCGGGACTTTATGAAATTACACCCTTATAGTAGTTAAGGTGTTTGAATATTTAATAGCAACCCAAAATGTAGTCAAATATTAAAAACTAGCGACCCGACCCGGTTTCGCACAGATGCAATGCTGATATTAAATAGCGTCCCCGGCCCCCAATTATATTACGACATCA